GTTCAGTAAAGGGACATATTCTTCCACGCCCTGTCTCCGGACAACTGTGGGTACAGAGGAAGCAGGGCCAATTAAGCAGGGCCTGACCTTCTGCTCAAAGCTCTAGAGCTTGTTGACAGAAGGGAAAAGTTTGGCCATTTCTCACTGGCCTTCTACGTCCACTTTCAGCAACGTCTCCCTCCCCCACCTGGCAGAGAAGGATCTGTCCAGGGCTCCGTGGCTGCTGTGAGGCCGTGCCCTTGACCAGCTGCTTTGGCTGTGAGGCTTACCTGACAAGTGTTAAGAAAAACGATCCAGAACCTGGAAACAAGGCCAAGAGGGTATCTGCATGTCCTTTCAATGTCACCCTGAAATATTGCTGAACAGGCTCACCCAAGGATTATTCACCTTCTAGGAGAACGTACATTTGTTTGACTGCACCATTTACTATCAGCGAAGGGCTCAGACTTTGTGAAGTTAGCTGTTTGCTTGTAGAGCCCTGTGGATACAAATGATTGCTGTCTGGGAGAAAAGGTAACCTCAAAGGTTCGGGTTCCTTGCCCCCTGTAGGACATGAAGCAGTTTTGTATCTAACTATGTATCCAATATCCCTTCTTTAACAGGATTATGTAACCCCCAATGCTACCATTACTCTTTGAACCAGCCTGACCGTTTTATTGTTTCCCTCATTAATGACTGAGTTAAACAAAGGTTTTGACCTGTGTTCATTGTATATTTGTAAGAAAGTCATGCTCTTAACTTTCCAACATTATTGCCCAGTTAGAAACTGAGGGTTCCGCGAATTATGACAGACACAAGAATGTGAATTGATACTGCTCATGCTATTAGAATTTCCCAGTAGATTAAGGTGCTCCGCACCAAGGTCCAATGTCAACAAAAGGAACCAGAGACCCCAAGGAGAAATGCGTCAGAAGGAAGAGCTCGTCCATGCAGAAGGCGATTCAGTCTGTGCCTCGGTGAGGTTGGGATTGTTTCTCTCTGGAAGTGCAGCTTGGGCCACAAGCCCCCTCAGACTTGGGAACGTTGCCATAATAGCCATGCTTGGGACATGGGCCAGGTTGATGTCATCCCAGCAGGGCAGGGAACTGGTCACATTGGGTTTTATGGGACCAGTTTTCATCAAGATACCATGTGGCAGCAACAGAAGCCATGACAACTGAGACCTTAGTCCTGCTAGAAGCTGACCAGACACGCCACCCTGGTCTCTCTCTGTCTGACATTTGGAAGGAGGTTAGCCCTTTGGCTAACTGAGCCCTTCATCCAAAGGACAATTCAAGGCCTCAAGAGAAAGGTGCCATGGGAATGATATATATATTTGTACCTCAAATTGGTAAACTGAGTCTCACCAATTATATACACATGAGGATATATAAGAAATTCTCTTTAAAACAAAAATCCATAGCTGAGAAAGGAAACATTTGGAAAGGTCTGCTCTGCAGGGAGGAAAGGCAAGCCTCAGAGAGCATGAGAGTCTTCCCATGGTCTCTTGGATCAGTCCATAGAGCAGGCCGTGGAGGCTGGGATGGGACTACGTCTCAGTTTGCCACACGACAAACTAGTTCACACTGCTGGCATAAAATAACAATCACTCATTATCCTGGATCTGTGGGTTGGCTGGACGCCTCTGGCAGTCGAGGCTGAGCTCAGCTAGCATGCCTCCACTCCTCACTGCAGTTCCTTGGGCTGTTCGGCTGGGGGCACAGGCTAACGGGGTGGCAGCTACCTGTGCAAGAGGACAAGTAGAGACATATGAAGGCTTTCAGGCTCAGAGCTGCACATCACTGCTTCGATCCACAGCCTTGGCCAAAGTCAGTGTCAAGGGGCATGCCCTTTGCCTATTGTTAAGGCCATGACGAGGGTCTGGATGCAGGGGGTGGGTAAGGGACTGGGACAGATCATTCAGTCTGCCCAGAGAAGAGGCTAATGGCTTTTGGAAGCCCACCTCCTATGTGTCTGCCTCTTTTTAGCATGCTAAGCAGATAAACATCTTAGTAGCTGATAAACATCAACCACCTTCATTTTGACTACTGCATAGTATTCCATGGACCAAATGTATTATTCTCTATTTAGTCGGTCTTGTACTTGTAGATGTCATCCAGATCGTTACTAGGGTTTTTACAATTATAAAAAATGCTGCAATGAATACCCTCTGCCCATGTGCATGAGTGTTGTATTAGAGGTTGCTCAATGGTCTCTGTTAACCAAACCCTTCTACTATACAGTCCCTGAATTGTAGTAGACATGTGGCTGCCCAGAATAGAGACTACATTTCCTGGCATCCCTGCATTTAGGTATGGGCATATGACTAAGTTCTAGTCAATGGGATATAGCAGCAGTGATATGTGCAACTCTGGGATTGTGGCCTTAAAGAAAGAGATGCGCCCCCCATCCCTTTCCCGATTGGTCCTGGCTGGAATGTGGCTATGATAGGGAGCTGTCTTCTACCATGTAGGGAAGCACTCTAGAAGAGCAAAAAAACATGGAACCTAGGCCCCCAATGCCATGGAATCATCCCCCCCAACACACACACACACACACACCACCCAGCCCTAGATTAATTAATCTGTGCTGTTATGTTCCAGAAAGAAATAAATCTCCATTGTGTTTAAGCCACTGTTATTTTGAGTATTATAGAAATCAATCCAATATCCTAATTAAAATTAATATATTCACAAGATAAATTCAGAGCAGTGGAATTGCTACATCAAAAATTATATGCATTTAAAAAATTAATCTTTGATGCCAAATCCCCTTCCATAGCTATTATACTAATTCATACTCCCACCAACAATATGTGAGGCACCTGCCTTACCACGCCCTTGCCAGCACTGTCCATTATCAAACTTAAAATATTTGCCCGTGAGCTGAAAAATATCTCGGAACTTGAATATTTGCATTAATCTAATGGTGATGGAAAGTCTCAGTCTCTGCCTATATTTATTATCCTTTTTATACATTCCCTTCAATCTTTCAATTCTATGGCATGTTATTATTGTCCCCGCTTACTTTAGCTCTGGAATGTGGAGTCACTTGTCCAGCCTGACACAGCCGGGAAGTGACGGAGCCAGCTCTGAATCCAGGTTGGACTCGCTCCAGACCAGGCACCCAAGCTCTTTTTCCGACATCACACCCTTGACCTTGCAGGGGTTTCCACCTCCCCGCTGACCACCTGTATATTTACTGGACCAGAGCCTGGGGCCCATATAGGCAAACCAGTCCCCGAAGCCAGGTCCGACTGGGCCCAGTGGAGAGCCCCTAAACCGGTATTGTCAGCTCCCACTTCCAGTAGCTGGGGCTCATGAACTCCTGCGCAAGACAGAGGTCGCTGTGCAGTCTTTTCCTGCCTTTCCCTGCAGGCGGGAAAGTTGCCATGCCTGACCTTCTCATAAGCATCTTCGAAAAGCTCTTACCTTTGGCTTTGTTCACTACGACTCATACCAGTAGAGACTGTCTTGCCAAGCAAAGGCCAAGGAGCGTCGCCAATAGCCTACATTCTAGGCAGAGAGAACAGCATCCTGACCAAAGGGAGAGGCGGCTTTTGAGCTCCATTTCTTTTTTTTTTTTTTTTATAAAGATTTTTATTTTTATTTATTTATTTGAGAGAGAGAGAGAATGAGAGACAGAGAGCAGGAGAGGGAGGAGGCTCAGAGGGAGAAGCAGACTCCCGGCCGAGCAGGGAGCCCGATGCGGGACTCGATCCCGGGACTCCAGGATCATGACCTGAGCTGAAGGCAGTCGCTTAACCAACTGAGCCACCCAGGCGCCCATTGAGCTCCATTTCTTTATCTTTATTTCAAGAATAATTATAGTTTTTTATCACTGGTGTGTGTGTGTGTGAAAGAGAGAGAGAGCGAAAGAGAGAGAGAGGAGAGAGAAATAATAAATGGAAAGGGCTTTGCGTATAGTAGAAACTGCAGAAACTGCACCCGCATTTCATGAACGCAGGAATGGCCCTGGAGTGCCTGGAGTGCTCAGGGAAGTGGAGGCCGACACTGTATGAGGGTGAGGCTTCAGGGGTGCAGCAGGTTTCTCCCCACTCTAGGAACAGGGTGATGAACTCCCCGGTCAAGAGGACTAGAGAGAAGACTTTGGCAATGGTATCTGGACTCTTTGGGTGGTGGCCCCAAAGATGGGACAGAAGGGCTGGCACCACAGCAACCAGGGAGCCAGGAAACCTCATAGAAACGGGGAGATCTGCCTTTCAGAAGGCTTCTGACTGCCCCCCCTGAGTCAGGGGGAAGGCCCCCCAGGTCCATCTGACCCCAAAGGCCGTGGGAGCAACCACTCCCTGCAGCCTCTGGAGAGGGCTGGGCGGAAGAGGAGGAAGGCAAGGGAGCTGGGCTTGTAGGATGGGAGGAGAGGAGCAGCCCACCCCATTGTCAGGCCGCAAAACCCCCAAGGCAATAGGCAGCAAGCGGATCCCTTAGCTATTTTCTCCAGACTCAGTTAGGCTGGCCCCATCTGCCCTGTTTGCACTCCGTGTCCTGGGAGATGTTCCCCACAGATCATATCCTGGAACTAGAGAAGCAGGGGGAAGAGTTCCTGGGGCCTCCGCACCCAAGCACAGGCTGCAGGGGCCCGAGGCCTCATGACCAGAGGCGGGCCACGCGGCTACTTGGCATGTCCCAGAACATCAGCCAATTCAATCCAAAAAGGAAAAGTCCAGGGAATTCTAGTCTGACAACAAATTATTAAGTTGTGAAGTTTTTGCCTGATGTGAATGAACCCAGGGAGAGTTCCAGGTGGACCCAGGGAAGGAGTCAGGCCCAGAAGGGGAGATTGTTTCTGGGACTTTGCCCTCAATCTCCACCCACAGCATTGGACCAGGAATGCCTTGGGGACAGGGATGCAGTAGGACTCTTTTTTGAATCCCTAGCCTTCAGCACAATACATGACAATTGGGTAATTAATAAGTTTTTACTGATTTAGTTAATGAATGGCTGGAGATGGATGAAATGAAGACCAAGGATGAGTCTAAACAATTCTAGTGTAAGATGGAGCTCGTTAGCAAGAAGACCGTCCCTCCCATTGGCATCCGGGCTGTGATTTGGGCCCTATACTCACATCTTCTCCTTTCCCAAGAATCAGAAGTGCTTTAAGGAAACTTAGGCCACACTTGCTGAGATGTCCCAAATTCTTCCCACTGAGCCGTGGGAACAAGAGACTTTGCATGTGGAGGGTCTGGTTTCCCCGGGCCCAGTGCTTCCTACAGGAAATCATTAGAGCTTATTCGTTTTGGCAGGATGGTACCTCTGTGACTTGTTTCCCAATCTGTAAAATGGGGGTAAAAACTACAACTGTCTCCTGAAGCAAATGAAATACTTCTTATAAAGGGCTGAGCCTAGTTCAGGGTGCCTGGTAAGCTCTTAATCATGTGAGCATCGTTATTGCTATCATTACTGGTGCTGCAAGGTACCATTTCAATGGACTTCAATTCCTTCTACTTTCTGTGTTTCTCTCACTCTCTGGAGAGAACGGAGATGCCCCCCAGTGCTGTTCTGGCCTGCTGAGCTCAGGTGCTCTCAGCTCTGAGAAGATAGAGGCCTCTCTTTGAAGGACAGAGGCCGGCAGGGTGAGTGGCTGGTGACCGCTGCCTCCAGAATGTGGTCAGCCCGGTGCCGCTGGACCCGCAGGGACTGAGCAGGCAGCTAGGTCAGGCCTCAGGTCCCCGCCCCCGTGTCTGCCCCAGGGACGCTATGGGTTCCCACCTTGGTCCCCTACACACAACACACACACACACACACACACACACACCCCTGGGCTGGGACTCAGGAAAGGCTCCAGCGGGGAAGGTGCTCTCACTAAGCCCACGAGACTCCTTAACACAGTCAACTCCAGAGTCACAGGCTAGACGCTCTTTCAGGTTGTCAGCAGCTTCTGGACCAGCACAGACCCCTTTTCAGCTCAGAAAAAGGAATCGTTTTCTAATTCCCAACATTTCTCCCCATCTCTACAAATTTTCAACCCGACTCAGCTCCCAGCAAAGCAGTCCCGGGTCCGAGTTGATCAGATGGCAAAGGAAGGGGCTCTCTTTCCTGGTGCCTCCCAGCAAGCATCTCACTATGTGAAATAGGAGACTCAGGGTCCAATCCTTCAGACAGATGGGAATTTAGGCCTTGACGGAACAAGAATCAAGGCAAAACCCGACTTACTACCTTTAATGAGCTTAATTTCCATTCAGAGAGGTAAATTAAGCACAGCCCGCAGAGCATTTTGTCGCTGAACGAACTAGGTTGATCTGGTCCAAGGACGCCGAGAGGTTAAGTAGTTGTGCCCAAAGTCACAGACGGAGTTTGGAGCAGAGGCAGGACCAGACCCCAGGTCTCCTTCAGGACTACACTACACTCATTTTTCTAGCCTTTGTCACCAGGCGACCACCGCACTTTGTTCAGGCAGCCAGGAACTTTTAGGTTGATGCTACTGGCTGGCACCTAGCCGGTGGAAACCAAGGATGTTGCTACACGCGGTCCGATGCATTGTTAGGAGTCCCCACAGCAAAGACTTGTCATGCCCGATATGTCAGTTTGGTTGGCTGTCAGTGAGTGTAGGCGATAATGTAGGCTAATCGCCCAAACCTCCAGGGAAAATAGAATTGCAAGAGGCGGAAAATGTCGCAGAAACAGGCTGTAGTTTGATGATTCCACTATTTGGTGGAAAAACAGTATCTTTTTTCTGACACCAAATCTGTGGAGTTTTTTCCACAACAACCAATTCTCTGACATCAACTGGGTGTGCAACAATCCAGTTCAGTTCTGACATGACCAAGCTGGAGTTAACACAGGACCCCACAGGTTAAAGGCTCAGTCCCACAGAAAGAAATCCCTTGACAAAGGGAAGCAGCAAAACTGTGACTCATTCTATGTTTTAGAAATCTGATATTTAGAAACCTGCAGACCTGAAGAGTCAGGGTCTTCTCATGAAAACCTGATACACAAGTGTTATCCAGACAAAGAGCTGATTCATTAGGTGTGGTGGACCTTTACTTAAAGCCCCAAATCGCGAACGTTTCACATCTAAATTTTGTAGACTTTGTTAGATTTTTGTTAAGCACTGTGTGAAACCATGGGATTTCTGGTTTCTTTCCCCACCCCACAGTGATCACATACGTCTTTTATAATATGCCCCTGCCATGGTAGTCAGCTTGCTAGGAAGAATTTATTAATGAGACTATTTAAGGATTTTAGAATGGAAGACCTTACAAGAATGCAGAGTAGCTATTCTTTTAGTACATGGAAGTAGGTGAGCTCTAGTTCTCACCCCCAATCAGGCCACTGGTCAGGATGCTGTGGTTACTGGTGGGGGCAGAACCGAGGTAGTAGGAGTTTCCTGTGGAGGACCCATCACTGAACAAATCTCTCTACCTCCTCATTTGACCCAGGTTTTCCAGGGATAAAATAAGACTCAAGGTTTGATGGGGGGGAAAAAAGGAATCGTTTTCTAATTCCCAACATTTCTCCCCATCTCTACAAATTTTCAACCCGACTCAGCTCCCAGCAAAGCAGTCCCGGGTCCGAGTTGATCAGATGGCAAAGGAAGGGGCTCTCTTTCCTGGTGCCTCCCAACAAGCATCAAGAAGGGCTTGTGGTGGTCAACGGCACAATCTCTGAAGCTGACTGCTCAGCTGGGCTCCCAGTTCTGCCACTTGCTAGCTGTGGGACTGATGGCCAGTTACTTCACCCCTCATGCCTCAGTGTGCGCCTCTGTCAAAAGGGGTCATAAGAGCAGCATTACTCACAATAGCCAAAGGGTGAGAGCAACCCAGGTGTCTATCAGCAGATGCATGGATAAACAGAATGTGGCACAGCCACACAATGGTCCTTTAGCCTTCAGAGGGAAGAAATCCTGATACGCGGATGAACCCTGAAGACCACATACTGAGCGCAAGGACAAATACTGGGCGATTCCATTCACATGAGGTACCTAGAGCAGTCAGATTCACAGAGACAAAGCCGAACGGTGGCTGCCGGGGGCTGGGGGCGGAGGGAATGCCGAGCGGTTCAATGGGGACAGTTTCAGTTTTGCAAGATGAAGAGTTCTAGAGATGGACCGTGGTGATGGCTGCACAACGGTGGGAATGCACTTCACGCCACTGACCTGCACATTTAAAAACGGGTAAGACGCTAAACTTTATGTTATGTGTGTGTCACCACTTGTACCTCCGGGAAATTCAGCCCGTCCTTATTGGTGCCCTGCACACCCCCCACGGATGCGCAGAGCCCCTGGGGTCTTATACAGGGCAGACTTCCAAGGAGCCCCTCTGGCCTGCCACCTGCTGGGGGCTAGCCCTGGCGGCCCCTGTCCAGGCCTGTGTGGCCCCCAGGGGGCTCAAGTTGCTCCTTCTGCTGCCCCACTGCCCGCGGAGCTGCGCTCAGGAGTTGGGGGTTGGTTCTAGCCTGCCCACCCCCGTTGAAGTCGTTCTCCTCTCCCGCACGTCTGTCCCCTCTCTCCGAGCATAACTCGCTCACGAGCTGGGTGGCGACTCTGCCCTTCAGCACGCGCCCACCTTGAGGCAGCTCATGGTAGAGCTGCCTGGCCAGGGGCTGGTCTGCCCCCTCTCAGCTCCAGACCCCCGTCCACACTGCCCACATTACCCTCCCCCTTTGTCAGCTGCCTGGGCAAGAAAGGCCGAAGGAGCCTGGAAGGGAGGAGGAGGGGAAGGCACAGGGCTGACTTTTCAGCTTTGCTCCCCCCGAGCCCTTGCAGCCGTCACGTCTTCAGCCGTTTGCCCCTTTTCAGCTGCGGGGTACCCCTGAGGGGCATGTCCCCTCAGAGCTGGAGTTGCAGCTGAGCCAGGCCCACGGGGTTCTGAGAGGCTCACCTCTTCCCTCTGCTCCTGGGGCAGGAGCTCCTGCTGTAATCACCGGTCCTGTTCCTTCGGGGCCCTTCCCTCTCTGCTCTCCCTCACCTGCTCGCTCATCTTGAACGCCTCAGATTACAGCCTCTGTTAAACTGCCCAGTGAGGTTTCTACCCGCTGGCCTGAGGGGCTGTGTGTGGAGCGGGGCGCGCCTGCACGCTCTCCCCACCCAGCGGCTGGAGAGCACCAAAGGCTACCGCTCGCTTTCTCCTGAGAGCAAAGGCCGATGGCCTGCAGGCACAGTGTTCTCTTGGGTCCTGAGAAGCACCAGCTCTACAGACCCGAGTGGGGTCTCTTGTGAGGGGCAGGGGGAACAGTGGAAGGAGAGCACTTTGCACAAGCCCCGGATGTCTTAAGGGGCAGTCTTGATATTAAGGTTTCTGACTGAAGGGTCCACATTCAGCCAGAGGGAAGAACTCAAATGGGGCCAATGTAAATAGGTACAGGAGACAAGCAACACATGGGAACCTTGGGAGAAACGGCACGTGGCCAGGGGAAGTACCAGCGTGTAAGCCCCTGACTTAAATAGGTTCCAAGAGCCTGTATGCAGTTTTTTGTTCCTCACACCTCTTCTGGAACGTGTGTATGTCAGGGGTACCAACTCTACCCCAGTACCATCCTCCCCCACCGCTCCCTATGGCCCGAGCTCCTGCTGCCATCTTGTGGCAGTTTTTATGAGGGCCATCAGGCAGGCGGACACACTGCTCCCCCCTTACGCTTTTATTCGTGGACTGGGACCTTCCCTGACTCTGAGCTCTCGTTGCATTCATGAGCAGAAGGAAGGGCCACTTCCTGACACACATGGCCCTTGTGAGGGTCTCACCTCTGATGGAGCGCCCTGCCCCGGCCATGCGACTCTCAACAGTCCACAGTCGAGGTCTCCCGCCTCCTCTGCGGCACAGTTCAGTGAGAAGGGACGCGTGTGTGTGGGGGGGGGGGGGGGGGGGTGGCGGTGTCCCTGTTGACTGAGCGGGTCACGCTCACTAGCTCTGTGCTTCAGGGTCCCTCAGGAAGTTTTCCCCTTTTGAGTCAGAGATTTGAGCATCTCTTGAGGAAAGGAAAATTTGAACTCCAAAGCTCATTAAAAAAACGAACAAACTCAACTGTACCAAGAATTGTCTTATCTTTTTAGTCACAAGCCCCCCCCCACCCCCCCCATTCATGTTGCACACATCTTGTTGCTGACATCTTGGCGGCTGTCCTGACTCTTCTGTGGGTGTATGGTTTCCAACTGTGAGCTCCTCGAGGTCAAGGACCCTTTTTATTCATAGCCTGTATCTAGCACAAAAGAGGAAGTAAATGTCCTTGAGTGAAAGAACTCTATGCTATCTGGTCAGCATATCCTGTCAGTTCCTCCAGAAGCCATTCTCTTATCCTAGGCTTCCTCTTTATCCCCAGGCTCAAGGCAGTAGATGGTGTGCCACCCACATTTCCCTTCATGATGAGACGCTCCTTCCCCTTGACTGCTCAAAGCTATGTCTCTCCCCAGGAATCACCCTCCTTCCAAGGAAAACTACTTACCCAAGGTTGGGCCTCCTCTGGGTGCACCCCACATCTAATAACTGGTCAATGCTGCCAGGGATAGCTCCAGCTCCTAAATTGAGGTAACTCTGAAGGACCAGAGAAGCTCTAGAGCTTATCATGGGATGGGCTGAGGCCTTTGTTGTGACTGCATTGCTGTTCACCTTCTCCCTCTGCCCCATTAGGCTTCCTTCCCCCCTCACGGGCTGAGGGCTGTCAATGCACTGGGGAATGACAGCAACAGGCTGAGGACAGTTACTCACCTATTTAAGGCAAAGTGTGAGAGTCAGAGGGGTCTGCTTGGGAGCATATAAAGAACCTCTCATCTCCTTCAGCCAGAGGACAGAAGCAGTGGAGGCTTGGCTAGGACATAATGCTAAGGGAACAGAGCTCCAGAGAAGACTAAATTCTCAACTTAGGCAGGGCCCCAGTAGAGAAGGAACTGAGGCTTGAAATGGGGATCACAGCAGCTCTAGACTCCCTGTAGAATTGGATGATGCTTCTGTTGTAGAGAACTTTGGAATCCACACACTGGGGCCTGAGATCAGATGTGACCCACTCTCCACTGCCTGTAGACCACTCAAAGTCTGCTCATCCCCTTCAGTCTGCTCCCACCTTCTCTCCTGGCTGCCTGGCCAGTAACAGGTCAAGCTGCACCACCACCCGGCCAGGGAAGTGCTGGGTCTGCTGGGAAGAGGCTTTGTATCGAAGGAACCATAAGACCCCATCAGTACATACTGGCAGAAGCATGGAGAATAGATATGGGACTGGATCCGGGTGATGCTGAATTGACAGAAACAGAATATAAAGTTGGATATGAGTGTTTATCAATAGGAGGACACTCTCCTATGATAGAAGATTGATATCCTGGCAAAGGCCCTAAAAATTATGCAAATATGCTGGTAGGTCGTTCCCTAAGAGCTTAGAAGAAGCAACAGTCCACACTAAGTACAACAGAAATGCCAAAATTGCCACAGTAAGTGGCAAAGAAAGGGGTCCAAGGCCCAGAGAAGTGGGTGTGTTAAAATGGGCATATTACCTAAGATCAGAAAACCCATCAACTATGTTCCATGGGAGGGAGGGCCAGGCGGACACTTTGTTTAGCAGAATGATAAGAAATGTGTTGGTGAGAAATACTACTACTGAAGAAGCTCAGTGGTAGCTGTCCTCTGCGGGCGAGAGCTGAGACTAGGAGGTACTGCTATAGAACTAGCCCTGATAACAATGGGAGGATAGAGATTCAAATTAATAGAGGCTGAGAAGCATATGATATCAGAAGCAAGGTGGATGTAATTATTGTAATAAGGAGCAAAATCACCATGGAAGCTAAGATAGCCTAACCCAGAGAGAACATAGAAATGGTTAATAGAACATGGCATTCTGAAGGGCAAGTTAGACAGAGGGGCAGCCAACAAGGGTATCACGCAATCTATATACAATCAAAAGAAATCAAGGAGGCTGAGGGTAAGCACCTAAACAACAACAACAACAAAATCATAATCTGTTGCCCAGGTTCTGGACAACTCAGTGACTTGAAGGGAAAGCTGAGCCCTCAGAAGTAAGTATCCTGCAATATCACACAACATATATGGGATGGTTACCTTCTTTGTCTTTCCCCAAGAGATGTATGGGCCAAGGGGAAGATCCAGAGATTCAGAGGACTGATTGGACATACGGATCTGAGTTGACATTGCTATTGGGTACCCAAAGCGTCATCATGACCTGTGTTAGAATGCTGGTGGAGATATATGGAGATATATACAGGTCTGACTCAGAGTGGGCCCACTGGGTCCACAGACCTACCAGTGGTTATTTGACTAGTCCCAGCATGTATAATCAGAATGCACATACTTGGTAGCTAGGCAGACCATCTAGTTAACCACACTGGGGTAGGCCATGGGAAAGCCTATGAAACCACCCTCCTGCCCCCACCAGCCAAGATAGTAACTCATAAATAATGCCATATCCTGTGGGTCTGAGAGGAGCTATCAAGGAGATTAAAAGAGATCTAGGTTTTTTTTTTTAATATAAAAGGATATAAATATATAAAAGAGATATAAAGGAAAAGACATAAAGATGACAGCCTGCTTATTCTCAATTGATTCACCAGTCAGGTCACTAAAAAACCAGACAGATGCGGTATCTTTGTCAGAATAAATTAACGCTGCTTCAGGCACATGGTGGTACCTGGTATATGGCCTCCTTGGCAAATATATTCTTATCCACCTCTACTGAGGGCCAGAGCAGTGTGCATTCACAGAAGACTGATACCACTATACTTTCATGACCTTGCCCCAGGGCTGTGTTAGTTCTTCTGCTGTCAAAATACAGTTTGTAGGGGCGCCTGGGTGGCTCAGTTGGTTAAGCGACTGCCTTCGGCTCAGGTCATGATCCTGGAGTCCCTGGATCGAGTCCCGCATCGGGCTCCCTGCTCTGCAGGGAGTCTGCTTCTCCCTCTCCCACTCCCCCTGCTTGTGTTCCCTCTCTCACTGTGTCTTTCTCTGTCAAATAAATAAATAAAATCTTTAAAAAAAAAAAAATACAGTTTGTAGGAAGCCTGACCTTGTAGATATGCTGCAGGACATTAGTCCAATACATTGATGGCTTCACATCAACCAAACAGGATAAGCATATTACAAGTGCAAGTATGATGGGAGATAAAGCCTATAAAGATTTAGGAGACTGCTGGGACATCTTCAACATAAAGGACTAATTTCTCCCATCACTAAAAAGGAATCATATGCTCCATAGGTCAGTATGGATTCTAAGGTCAGCAAAGTCCATTCATGGGAATAGTGCTCTAACCCATTTGCCACATCACATGGAAAGCTTTAAGTAGGGTCCAGAGCAGGAATGACTGCAGCATGTGGCGTAAGCAGCTTTGCCCCTTGGTCCATAAAACCTGGTAGATCTTAAGATACTTAAAGCATCTGTGATGGGCAAAGATGCTGTATAGAGCTTATGGTAAACCTAACTGGAGATTGCAATGTAGACCCATGCGGTTCTGGAGTAAGGCCATGGCATTTGCCACAAGGAACTATAGGTCATTTGAAAATAGCTCTTGGTTTGCTGCTGCACCTTGTGGAGTGCTTGACAATGTGACTCAACAGACATTAAACTATAAATCTGAGTAGGCCCGGCAGCAATCCATTCTAAGATATGTGGTAGTTAGGGCACTGGACATGAGCAGGTGGCCCAGACTGCCTCCCACGCCGTTCACTATTGTTGCACAGAGGCCTCTCCCTCAGCTCACACCTATGACCAAGAGGATGGGTGTGTGTCCCGTACAACCAACTTACAGAAGAGAGAGAAAAAAAAAGCCAAGGTTGGTTCACAGATGGGTTGGCCTGGTATGTAGATGCAGAACAAAAATAAACTGCTGCTGCAAGATAGCTCCACTCAGGTGGCCCTTTAAGACAGCGGCGAAGGGAAATCCTTGCAAGGCACAAATCAGGCTATCCAGCCACCCACCTTCTGTAGAAATAGAACAGGCCCGAGGCCAGAAAAAAAAAACAAACTCATGGAAGTAGCAAACGGCTTGGCTGGTTGGCCAGGGGCCTAAAAGGAGAAAGAAGGTCAGGGACAAGGGTAGAGGCACATGGATGGATGGACAGGAGTGGGCATGGATTATAAAGATCTCTGAATGCATATTAATGGCCACCAGAGGCCTCCACTATGGAAGACGTACTGCAACCAAGTAGTCCAACTGATTTGGCGAGCTGGTATCAGCCATCTTCTCCTTCTTCTTTTTTATTTGCGAGTGGGAGATAAAGACAGAGAGAGAGGGGTGCCTGGGTGGCTCAGTTGGTTAAGCAATTGCCTTCGGCTCAGGTCATGATCCTGGAGTCCCAGGATCGAGTCCCGCATTGGGCTCCCTGCTCAGCAGTGAGTCTGCTTCTCCCTCTGACCCTCCCCCCTCTCATGTGCTCTCTCTCTCAAATAAATAAATAAAATCTTTAAAAAAAAAAAAAAAGACAGAGAGAGAGAGCACAAACAGGGGGAGCGGCAGGCTGAGAAGCAGCCTCCCCGCTGAGCAGGGAGCCCAATGCGGGACTCAATCCTGGACCGACTGAGCCACCCCAGTGTCTCCAGCCATCTTCTTCATTAGCCACTCCTGTGCTGCCAAAATGGGTGTGTGAAAGGAGTGGCCATTGTGGCAGCGATTAAAGATATACAGTGGGATTCTGTTTACCAAGGCTGATGTAACTACTGATGTCAAACCTTTAACCTGAGTGCTACAGAGATCACTGCTGAGCCCTTGATACAATACCCATCCCTCAAGGAGAATAAGGATCCACTTGATGGCAAGTTGTCTACACTGGACCCCTTCCACTCTAGATAGGGCATTTATCTTGACTAGAATTGACACATGTTCTACGTATGGGTCTTGCCTTTCCTGTTTGCAGGGCTTTAGCACTATGATCATATGAGGGTTTACAGTGTTGAACCCACGGACACAGGATCCCATGTAGCGTTGAATTGATCAAGGGACTTCATAGCAGAGAGGAGAACACTGGGCTTGTGGTCATGGGATCCACTGGTCATATCATGTACTGTAGAAGCTGCTGGCCTGATCAAAATTGAATAGGCTTTCAAAGGTGCAGCTGAGGTACCAACTTGGAAATGAGATCCTGTGAGGGTGGGGCAGCATCCTTCAGGATGCAGGATACATCCTTAATCAATGGCCTTTCTAGTGGTTCTGAGACCCCAGTAAGTGGAATACACAAGACTGGGAACCAACAGGTAGAAACGGGAATGACCCACTTAGGATCTTTATCAATGACCCATTTGGGGAATTTGTGCTTCCCATTCCTACAACTTTAGGCTCTGTGCGTCTAAAGAACCCCGTGTCCAAAGTGGGGAGGACGAGGCTCCTGGTAGCTGGGGGGCATGATGGCCCCAATCCTGTAGTGAAGTCTGGGCAGAACGCTGCCACAGCCACTCCGGTTCTTGCACTGCTCATTTCCTTGGACTACAGTCTCTCTCTTCTGCCGCCCTTTTGAGATTTCCTCTTGACTAGGACCTCGCCTAGTCTAGGTGTTTACCTGCTCTTACCCCTAGCTTTACCTGTTGGGGCGACCCAGACTCCCTCATCTTTGAGAACTCCAAGCCCCTAGTCACCATGCCCTTCTGAAGCAGTACTCCCTAAGAAGTGCCTTCAGCATCTTGTTTTGATTCAGGACATCTCAGAAGAGCCACCCAGCTCCAGATCACCCCATGGATTTTAACTAAAGCCATTGCTCTAACTGCATCACAGTTCAATTTATTCCTCTGTTCAAACCAGCTTCTTGTGCTCCCTCACGTGTATCGTTCCTAAGAGCACTCCCCAGTCAACTTCCTGTGCAAAAATATCAGGCTCCAAGTCTGCTTCCACAGAAGCTAACCCACTACAGTCAACACCTTGGTCTAGGCCAACTGCCTCAAGGCTGAATTACGCAATAGCTTCCAATGACCTCTTCCAGGCTTCCCGTGCAATTTGAATGCCCTGTACGCTGCTGAGAGGAATTTGCCTCCCCAGGGGTATGATCTCAGGCGAATTACTGAACATCAGGTAGAAAAAACTTGTATGTCAATGGAAAACTATTCATGGTCTATAGCATACACTTTTGTCTTAGATTCTGATTCTGTGGGAGCTATTTTATGACTTTGTACGGTGTAGGTAACTGATAAGACATATAAATTCTGTTCCCTCTAACAGAGGTTCAAATGACTCCCTCCCTAAAACAACAACAAAACATTTATCTCCAATTTACAATTCCTTTCAATATTCCTTTACTCCATGTAACTGTGCTTTTCTAGAAAACTTAAATTTGAACTCATCATAACATGCAGTTAGTTCTCTGGATTCATGCATCAAATAAATTTTTGAACATGTGTACATTTTTATATCTGAGCGTCATGATTTTACCTTTTCCTGAAAATTAACTTGTAACCCTTAATTTCCACATATGTAAGATAACAGTAAAAACATCTGGCAGGTTTGTCGGGCATTTGTCTGGCACACAGTAGAGACTCACACCTTACTGCAATCAACCCTTTTCAAAGAAAATCATTACAGCATTCTAGAGAGTCCTTTTGCAAGAACTTGCAATGGAAATAGAATCTATTTTCCAGAATTTTTCATCTGGCAAGAGTTACCATATATCAGCCCTTTGCCACAGACATGGCATCTTTTCACTAATAGATCCACTGTCAAATCAGCCTGTCACTGTAATTTGTTATCATCTGTCCTTGAATACGGAATATTTCCAAGATCAATTTACTTTACAACAATCCTTTTCAGGCTAGACAAACACTCCACATTTTAAATGTTCTTTTTAAAAACAGACTTTACTTTTAATCTCTTAAAACATTTACTTGCTCTTAATGTTATGAGTGAGAAATTCTTTGAAAAAGTCCCCCCTTTCCCCAAATTAATGGTGTATTTCTAGAAACTAATTAAATTCTTCTTAGTTAGAAATGTAATAAAGTAGGAGGTCTAGTAAATTTATGTCCTCTGAATTATAAGACAGAGACTTTCCCAAACTTAAATAGTAAAAATTCTTGCCTATGGTTAAGACCGATACTCCCCAGTCAAAACAGGAAGGGCAAGTTGTTGCAGCGATCCAATTAAAGTGTCCAGGCAAAAGTGGAAACTGGATGTGCAAGGAAGCTCGAGCCTAACCTAGTTGTATTCACGTATCTGAAGAATGTGACAATACAAGAAATGCGGTGTGCTTGTGTGTCCAGAAAAAGAAAGTCAAACCCAAAGTTTGATAGTGTTTACAACCACAGAATAAAAAAACTAAAACTGACAGATGTAAATATTCTATCACTAGAAAAGTAGAAAAATTATAAAGCACATTTTCCAAGCCAGGAAGAAAAACAAATGATGTTCAGCTTCCTTGTGCTCTAACCCTAGGTCTATAAATTAACTTCTGATGGTCCATGTGGCCTATCAGTTATCTTCCAATGAGGCTGGGAGTGCCCTAATCTTCAGAACTGTATGTTAATAAATTGGCATTTTGATCAACATATTTATCTTCTACTTTATCATCAGTTAGTTCTGAAGTTAAATCAGGTTCTGAAAAAACCCAAGTTTCTACAAACCTTAGGTTCTGACAACACCAAGTTTATGTACTAACTCCTAAAGAGCTACAAAGCCAGCCATATTTGGATAGCCAATCGACCCCTCTCTAGAATCTCTCTCTCCACATTAATTCTAGCTCTTCTGCCATCTTACTCCTTTAACTAAAACACACTTCATGTAACTTTAGCTACACAGTGAAGCTAATGAAAATTTCATTATGGAAACAAATGCATCCTAAATTTGACTTCATTCTCCATGTTATCCAGAGAGTGGGGGCTGAGGATCTTGCATTTTTTAGGCCCGATGTCCATTTCCATGAAGCTTGCTGTGCTGGCCATGGGCAGATGAGCCAGTGTATGGCTCAGCGGCTACGCCATACCATCTAATTACTGGAGACACAGAAGCTCTCCCTGTTTGGGTACTTGTCATTTCTTTGTCCCTCTCACCCATGGCCCAGATCGCTTCTGCGTTTTCTTTCTGACCTGCATCTCCAGAGGGTGACCTAATATACATTGAGAAACAGAGATGTCAACTAGGGACATGCTGGAACTTGTGGAATTGGATAGTTTTCTGGTTTCCAGAAAGGAAAAGTTATTATTCAAGGGAAGCTATTTTTTGCCTCCTGTCTTCTGGCCCCATATGTCCAAAGAAAAAGTAAATCTAAGGTCACACAAAATGAGTCACAAGCCTCTAGATGGAGTAGTTTTCAGTAATTAAACCATTTTATTCTCCAAACACTCATCCTACCCAGTGCAGAAAAAAGATGATGAAGTTCCTTTAATTTTTGCCTGAAACACATTTCAGTGCTTAGGCTATCAATGGAGACTTTGTTCTATTGAAAGTGAATTGAAAAGTTAAACTCAGGGCTGGAAAAGGACTTTGGCTATCTTGCCTCTGCTGTTACTGCCCCTATATGATCCCGCTGTGTTCTGATACAGAAGGGTAATAAGGACCTCAGGCCAAGAATATAACTGCCTAGAAAAGAGAACATGGAAAAACCCACTGTGCTGCGACTGAAAACACTGATTTCTAAATAAAAAATACTGTGACCTATAATTTAATCAGTGTAGACAGGTAGGCAAGATGTTAATGAAATACCGTGTATTTTTCATTGGTCTGCCTGCTTTATCTGAGGTGTCTGGCCTACCTCCAGGATACACCTTGTACTGGATGGGACACACACGTCAGAACAGCTGCCAGGCCCACACTTATTTCTGAGGCCACTGATCCTGTCTTCTCTCAGCTCCTGCAATCTCAATGGACTTAGTTTATACCATGAGACCTTGCACTCTGCTCAACACCTGCAACACTCTCTATCATAGGTGAATACATCTGCAGGTTAGCTAGCAACTTAAGACATGGCTGAACTTGAAAGAATACCCTACATAAAGTCACGGTGAAGGCTAGCCAAAGCTTAAGTAACGTAATGTTATGATATAGAGAGGGGAATATGCCAATTGATCATAATAAGGATCTACACTTGCCAGAGGAGATTCCCCCCCAACCCATAATGGCAAGTAAGCATGTTGCAACAAAGCCTTCAACAAAAAACAATGAAAAAAAAAAAAAACTATACAAAATATAAAAATATATTTGAAGGCACCGGGGAGCTACTACCATAACCAACTTTAGAGGCTAAGACCCCCAAAAGAAGGGAAGCCCAGAGAACTATGATGGGTATTCAGTGCCACATCTGCCAATTTGAAAGCAGTGGCTGAGAGGATGAGAAGCAGAACAGAGCTTCTGGACTCTCCCAAGGTTGTGATGTCAATAGTTATAACTCAGGGAATACTAAAGATGAAACCCCAGACTGTTAAGTTTGGA